ATGTTTGATAGACCTGGGTAGGCAACATATGGCGGTAGACCTCACCCTATAGTAGCACCAGTATTTCTATATTGATATACAACCGTAAACTTGTATAAATAAATTTTTAAATATAATTGAATTAAGATCTGCAACTTATTAGTAACTACAACTTTGATATAGCTTTAATAAATACTCTTACTCTTACACCCATCTAAAATTATAGTATAGACAAAAGTATTACATCTAGAGCAAATCTGAAGAAAATTGGCTTGAAGTTTGGTACTCCAAAACATAACCTTCAGTAACAATATGATACTCCCCTCTCAAAAAATTCTTCTTGACCCTGCGATGATCTCATTGAAACTGAAAATGTCAAGTTCAACTACTATTATAACAAAAAAATTACCTGTTGTGTGAAAAATATTCATACTAACATACCCATTTAACTTCTTAAATTTTCCTGCGGATAATAAAATGCAACGTGATGTTATAAAAAAGAAAAGGAAACTGCTAGTAAACAGCTAGAATATTTAATCATACAACCACCTCATCCTGTCTAATTTGAAATATTAATTATGACTGAATTTAAAATATTTTGAGTAAATTTGTCAATATTTTGAGTACTTGGACAGTTGGAATAATCAACAACTGTAATAATCAGAAATCTCATTTATACTAGTTGATTATTTTTTAAGAAATTAATCAAGTTAACCATAATTTTGATTACTGGATAACTGGAATAATAAAAAACAGTAAAGATCTGAAACACTAGTTGATTATATTTTTTTGATATTAACACGTTCACGACATCATGTGCCACCCGTGGTACACAGCACTCATAAGATATAACTGTACCTCATACCTCCAAAGTCTTATATTTTATACAGACTGCTACAATACAGCCACACCTTTCATCATGTACAACTGGTGGAGCACGAATGCCATGTTGAAAGGACAACTGAAGTAAAACAAATGTACATGTTTAAATCACTTTTATTTTAAAATTACATCTAGAGATTGGCATTACATTTTTCATTGTAACTGAAGCAAAAAACACTAATTGAGACTTCTTTCATAAATAAGAAAACTGTTATGAAGACTGTAATATAATAAGGATAGAGCTGTTATCATCCACAGAAGGGATTATTTTATCTGATGACCCTTTTTCACACCTATAAAATTATAAAATATTCATAATTCTTTTAAAAAATGGCAAGATTAGACTGAAAAAAAAGGAGAAAATATTAAATATTATGATCATTTGATTATTATTACTTAAATCATAGTGTGCACCACTGGTGGCACATGACAGCCAAAGCTTAAATGGGTAAAGACAGGATATCATGTACCATCAGTGGTGCACTCAAGAGAAGGTTCTCAATGCAGTCATTCTGTCATAAAACATAACATAAAGCCATAAAGTTAGCTGTACCTAAGGCAGAGTTCACAATGAGGCCTTACATTCCTATTGCATAATAAGAGAAATCACTTACTTGCGAATGTGTTAATCAGTTTAATCATAATTTCAATTAATCAACTGTTTTATGTGGCACTGATCAACTAATGAAGTTATCAACACTATTTTCCTTTAAATACAAAGTTAATGTTTTTGGCACTATTCTACAGACTATCAAATACATTTCATATTCTACCTGTGTGTGATAGAATTATATTGTGCTAATCTAAAGAAGTTAAAAGACAAGATCAACTCAGCTTTGATCCCACCTGAACATATTACAGTTTTATCAGATTTTGGTGTCCATTCTTATATTTTAATATGTAAATTATTTTAGATTCCTAAGCTACACAAATTACCATACAAAAAAAAGTTTCTTGTCTAAGTATCAATAATTTCTATTCAGTTATGGTCTGAAATAGTATATTAATCAAATATTAATTTCTGGTCAAAGTTACATACATAAACTTATATACAGTGAATACTACAGATGATCTTTTCAGCCCACAAGTTGTAGATTAGTATTTATCTAATTTTTCATCTATATACGAGTACAAGAGACTATAACAAAGGTTTTGCACAAGAGTCATGCTCATAGGTATATTGAAGATATTATTTTACCAAAAATATAATTTTCCTACATAGAAAATGTATTTCCGATAGATATTTACCCCTCTCATATAATAGATTTTCTCAATTGATGCTGCCCTCTATATGACCAGATCTTTTCACTCACCACTAGTACTGATACTCCCACCTACCCCATGTGTCTAATGTGGTACACCTAGGCTGTAGCATGCAAAAAGCATGGAACAACCTTCCACCAATAGAAATATGACACTCTCCTAGCACAGCAGTCTCCCCCTGGATTATAGAGTCTAATCTCACTTTGAGATTAGGCACCCAGAAGAAATACCAGAAATGGGGAGGAAGGGTGGGAAGTATCTATTGAAAATACATTTTCTGTACAGGAATTCTGATACAATACCATACTTACAGTCACATAATAACTAGAATCCCACAATTACCTGGTGGAGGGACAGGTGCAAAATTACCTAGATGAGCACCCTTCGGAATGTGTCAAAAGAGAACCCATGGAGTGTGACATCTCTGTGATGAGGAAACACACTCGTGGGAGACGGCATCACATCTGAAACAATTATACTCTTTGCCCTTGATAAATGACAGTGTCGCTAAGTGGGAGACAAAGAGGCACAAATGATAATTAGCTGTATGTGCCCCAGATACAGTGTGTACGAGCATGTCTAACCATAATCAGGAGATCAACCCCAGACCAAACCAACAGAACATCTCATCCATGATAGGAGGAAGGTCCTCAACCATCAGTATCTGAACTGAAAAAAGCAAGAGGTCAACTCTAGTCCAAAACTAGAGGATATGGAAATGGTTCACCCAGTCCATGGAAGGAGAAAGTCCTTGAGCAACTGAAGCCAGATGTGCTTATGGTGTAGAGTGGCTAGGTCTTGTTGGACTGTAAACAGGAGATCAACTGCAGACCAAAACCAGTGGTACAAGAAATGGATCATCCAGCCCACAGTAGGAGGAGGTCCTCTACCAACTTCACCTCAGAATAAGAAACCAGAAGAGAAGGAGCACTTGAATGCAAGGTGGAGGGTCAACCTAGTCCAAAACTATGCAGCATTGGGAATGTATCATCCAGTCTGCAGTAGAAGAAGGTTTCAAGCTCACTCACATGTGAGTACTTATGTTAGCTGGTCCAGCTCCAACCAACACCAGTTGTCTGGGAATTGATATCCAGGTGACAGTAGGAAGGAGGTTTCCCAGCCTGAGGGACGAGCTGCCTTTTTTGGTTCATTTATCCAGTACAAAACTGAACAGCATCTGGAATTTTATTTCAGATCTACAGTAGGATGAAAGTGGAACACCATCTAAACCTACAGAACATCACTGCCCTACTCTCAACTGAGTGGAATTTAGCACACTTAGTAGGAAGCCTCTATGGTCCACCACCCCAGCAGCTAGGAGCTGGTAAATGGTAAGGACTCCTGTACTCCACTGGAAGGAGGGGAATGTGTTGGAGAGTCCAGAGGAATGCAGCACAGGAGAAAGTGCAATGGGTGACTGCAAATCCCTATTTTTAAAAGCAGGCTGTTCCTGATTTATTCAATTGAAGAAGTGGTAAGGATGAGCAGCAATCACCTTCTGCTTTACTCATGCAAGTTCATAAGTGTACGGTCTGGAACAGATATACTTATGATGACAAACACTGTTAGGGAGGACCTACAAAATGTCTCGAGGAACATCCCATCTCAATGGTGGGCATTAATGACATTTTTGGGTGTACAGTACAGATTTAAGAATTAGTATACCTGGACTGGCATCACACGCCACTGAAGTAACTTCATTGACTAGAAAAATTTCAATTTCAATCACTGGATATTTTAAAATACAACACCAAAGCACTACATAAATTAGCATATGAAAGTAATTAAGATATCTATATTTTCAACCATCTTTATATACAATAAATGGAATTGTAGCAAGTAAAAACTTCAAAAGTCATGCACACCAAAAGAATGAAACGTCAAAACATTCTTTTGGCAAAAAAAATCACTAGCATTCTTATACAAGTATAT